TATTTAATGAGTTTTCACAACCCGGAACACAATGTTTCATAGGTGTGTAATTTTTCTAAGAGCACTGCATATCTCACAAAATCATTTGCACGATTATTTTTTTTCCCACACAATGCCACCGAATTGTAGCCAGTCATTTGCTGATGAATCTTTAACAAGCAGTCCCAAACATGCATCAATGTCCTCTCAGGAAACCGCATCTCTTTTACCGCAACATTATTTCTGATGACTTTTAAATCAGTTTGTATATATTTTTAATTATTTTCTAAAATTGTCAGATTGTCAGACAGGCAAAAAAAAATCTACTTTCATTTCTATCTATATCTATGAAAAATAAAACAAGAATGAAACCATAGCTAAAACTTTCAGATAATGCTGATGATGCAGTATCTATAGTTTGAAGTGGCCATTTATCACTTGTTTATCTACATTTGTCCAATTAGTTAATAATCACTATGACGTACATTGTACGCTTTGAATAGATTTTCAAATATAGTACATGAAAAAGGCAAAGAAATCTCAACTACTTCTGTAAACTATAAAGGGAGTCAGTTAGTACTACATTACTATAATATTAAAGGTTAAAAATAACTTTTTTTTTTTTTTTTTACAAACACTTAAATTATCACTCAGCACCACAGTGAATAATGGGTTTAGTGATTTATCAAACAGTACGAAAGAAACAACAACAATAAATGTCCAGAATGTGTGTGACAATGTTTTGTTAATTTCGTTGCAAAAATATCTGGTTAGAAACAGATTGTTATTAATTTGAATATAGTGACCTTCCTTTATTTATTGTTTCAGGCCAGTGAGCTACAACGCAAAATGAATCTCTCGTGTAACGCTTTATATTTTGTCTTTTGTGCTTTATGTAGCCTAATTCCAGTGATTGTATAATGTTGTGATATAAGTTTCTAAAACTCAGAAAGAGAGGAAGGTTTGACACCGCCCTTGAAATGATGCAATCCTCTGTAGCCAATCACAATCCTTCGTTTAAATGGACGCATATTAGAAAGCATGAATGAAAGGCTGTTTTATTTATTGCGACGTGCTTATAGACTCTGAAATGTGCAACTGAATGTCAAATACAATTACCTACTTAAACCTGAGATTCCTTTTAAAATCTTATGTCAGTTAGCGCACAGAAAAGGTTGTTTCTATTTTTTGTGCTTTTCTTCTCTTCATGTTCTCTTGCCGTTTTTCCGCTCATGCCGTTTTAATAAAGATGCTGCCACAGACTTTAATTAACTGGGTGCTTCAGGCAAATATGTTGTAAGAAAACACATGCTGTCTTTGGCCTTCCAGCTGTGTGGATGTCCATCAAACTCTGTAATGTTTTTTATACTTCAAAAGAGTTAATGTAATTGACTTGACAGACTTCTGACATGTTGGTTAAAAATGACAGCAACTTTCAATCAGCTGTACTTCACTGTCAACTTCAGTGTAAGAAGTCATGCAAATGATCATATTCTTTGTTGTGATAATGTTTAATTTTTTTATGGTTTGGTAGTACAAGCAAGAACAAAATATTTAAGCTCAATTTGTGTCAGTGCACACTGCACTGTTTTATTTTATGCATTGATTATGTTTTGTTTTATTGTTGTATTATATTTATCTTTCCTAAATGGACACTATTCAATAGAATAGTCATTGTAGCATCAATACCATTTTACACTAATTCAAGTTTGGAGAACACAGACAGACAGACATTTTTATTAAAATTGCTATTATTGTTTTAAAGCATCAACATTGTTGTTTTTCTTTCAGTATGTTTACAAAGAACATAATGGTAATATTTAATTAAACCACATCTGTAATGATTCTAGTTTTTTTTTGTTTTTTTTTATCAGAACAACTTATTTTTGTTTTGTTTGGTCCATTAGTTCAGCAATTGTTTGCATTTTTATGAATTTAATAACTTCTTGTATAAAATTCTGCCAACATTTAGCTGTGATAGATTTTGTTTAAGGTGTTTAAAAATGTGTGTTGACTCTGCATACTCTCAGTTTAACATCAGAGTAATTGAGCTCTGCTATTCCACAAGGAAAAAAAATAATGATCATCTTCCTGCATGCGATATGGTAAGTTAATAAAACTATTTTTAGCATAGAATACTTGGACAGTACCCTCCACAGCACAGGTCTCGCAGGCTCATCTGTGTCTGCTGGAAATAGCATAGAAAAAAAGTTAATTATTTCCACCCAAAACCAAAATGCCTCTGTCTCTCAGTTCAGATTGGCTTGTGATTTGCATGAGGATTTTGAAAAGCTTTTCAGTATGTTTGCCATGTCTGTCCTGGCTGTCTGTTTAAACAGGCATCGAGTAATGAAGAAGAGAAGATGGAGGGAAGGAGGGAGGGAGGGAGAAAAGAGGAGGTGTGCTAAACCCTGGTTTCTCTCCTCAGCCCTTTTGGGATATGAAGGCCCCAGATGGTGTGTGTGTCTGTCTGTCTGTCTGTAGGTCTGTCTGTATGTTCATTCCGAAATCAGGGTCATCCTTGGTAAAAGAACCCAGCCCTAATGTCATCTGTGTGAAGCTTGTCTCTGTCTCTGAATGGAAACAAAGGAGAGTGGACACAACTCCCCCCTCCCCGATATCTTTGTCCCCATTGCCCTCTGCAAACCAGGGCCTGACACCCAGTACCGAGGGCTTTGATTAGCCAAGTGGAGACACTGGGGGGGTCACAATACCCTCTGCCCTGATTAGCCTGCACTTGGCCACTGCTGACCCCTCCTTCCAAAGAGGAACATGCGAGGGGTCTGGAGATTTTGAGATGGGGCATTTGGGAAGAAACATAATGCACCTTGACCTGTCTAGACTCTGCTGTTAACAAATGGATAATGTGACCGTTTTCATGTTGTTGATAGTCTCTCTCTCTCTCTCTCTCTCTCTCTCTCTCTCTCTCTCTCTCTCTCTCTCTCATTTCTTATTTTTTTGAGATAACTAAGGTAAATAATTGCACTGTAGTTTTAGAAGTATTCAGAGAAGTGTTTATAGAAGTATTCCGTTATTTAAAAACTTTTAAACTTGGATCATTCCGAGTGAAATTTCTTGACATCTTTGCGTCACTTGTCAGAACAAAATGATAATTTCCCCCACATTCTGAGATGTCACAATTTCTGTAAGTATTTTTTATCAACTGAATATTACTATTTTCTTCGTATTTTATGTCGGAATGTTGTTAACTGTGAAATATATTTATTTTTTACACTTAAGGTGAAATGTACTGAATCTTAAAACTACATCATTGTCCTTACTTTCTTGTATTATGCTGAGTCAATGTCTCTGGTAAAATATGATGATTGTGCCTTTTGGGAGCTAGATGCACAAAACCTGATGACCGGTGAAAAAAAATTGGTCACAGGAATATTGCATTTTTGAAATATTTGTGAAACGCTTGTCTGAATGTTGTGTGTACGCAGTGGTTTTCCTTTCATTATGAATGGCTGTAGGCATAGTTTGCTCAGTGAAAGCGCAGGAAGTGCCGCTGTTGTTGTTCCTGTGCTTTGGGTGGGTGGGTGCCTGCACTGCTACTGCTGGTTTGCCATCATGCAGTTTACTCAACAGATCTAGAGTCTGTGATAGTCAAGTGTCCTGCCAGGTGCGATTCTGACTGTATTGGCCAAATCTGACTATGGAACAGCGGTTCTAGAGGTGGTTTGTTGGTGGTGGGGGTTGTTATGGCGTCTTCTGTGTGGCTGCTCCTGCCCCGCCCTCTAACCAGCCACTCAGAGCCAAGAAAATGGCAGCTGCAAAGGAACACCGATTCTCCCCCCACCCATCTTCCCCTCTCGCCTTTTCCCATGTTTTGTCACTTGAGGTAAAATAAACTGGAATCTTGTGTCTTTTTGCAGTCTGAAATGTCTCAAGCCTTTCACTCCACGCCCATGTTTTGGAAAGTGCCCAGGTTTGTGTGTTAAAATGAAACGTTCCTGGCCACTACAAAGAATTCGAACTAGATGTTCTACCTCGATCATTCATATCCTCACGCACACTTTATTCGCCACCATGAAGAATGTGATAGGAGTTATTTACCTTCATACGGGAAAGGCTTTAGTAAATGCATTTCATGGCAGTCAAAACGTCAGGAATGTTTTAATGAATGCTGTCATATGTATGCCATTTGTGATGAATGGATGCAGTCAGGGTTTTTCGCTGCTGTACTATACCACATGGCAGATGATTGAGAGTGGGGGGAAACATAGCCAGTGCATTTGCTCAGGTGTTTACATTCAAAGCCTGCCATTCTTTGAGTATGACTTTGATTGAACTTGTCAAGTGTACTGAAATTTAGAAATAAATAATATGAACCGTATTAGATGTCTGTTCTACTGTTGGCACCTGAGCACTGGCAGAATCTCCTGCAGCTTTTCCTCCTGCCTCGCTATACCATTAATTCCTCAAGGATGCTTTTTATAAAGGTATTCTGATTGTATGTGCAGTATAACGATGTGTTTCTAAATTTGTAGTCTAAAGTATGTAATTTTGGATGGCTGTGGTGAAGTTTAACTCACTAAAGTGTCTAATTAAATCGTTGTAACCAAGAAACAGTCTAAACAATGAGCCAGTTTGTTTGGCTGTCTTGTGCTTGGCTTTGCCAGCACACCAGAGAGAGGCAGGGCAGGTCCACGAAGGATGTAATATAACCCCTCTGCCCTGACTATACTATAATGGAGCCGACACAATTGTCTCTGCCCTCTCTGAAATTGACTCTCTCTGAACGTGTGTGTGTGTATGTGAGCATGTTAGGAGAATATGTCAAGGTTATTCTGTGGAAAACATGTGACCCTTCCTATTTTCCAGCTTGAGTTGATGATAAAATGGAGCTCGACAGTTCAAATGAATAAATCATTGCATGTCGGACTAAAAATTACACTCTGTACACTTGAATGCTGTACTTTCAGATGTTGTCATTTGAATTTTAAGCTTACATTTTTGTATTGTGCATTAATGTGTCTCACTGTTGTTGTTTTTGTGAATTTGTCTGTCTATTCCAGGATAGCAAAGAGGAACCGAAATGATGTGTCTGCAGAGATGATGCAGGTAGTATTTTAGTATTTTTAATTGTGTGTGTAATGTGTTTGTGTATATGTGTGTGTGTGTGTGTGTGTGTGTATATATATATATATATATATATATATATACACACACACACACACATACATACATTGCATTACTCTTTCACTCACTTTTTTTAAAAAAGAACTGTTCTCTTCTTTCACTTTCACAAATTATAAATATTACCATAATATTATCAGTTTAGCTTGTTAATAGTATAATAACAACTTGTTGTTTTGACAAGGTGCTAAAAATTATCCACATATTCAAGAAATGTTTGACTTGTTCTTAATGTCAGACCTATTTGTTCAAGCTTGTTTGTTTTGACGAATTTCTTATTTAAAGCCCACACTTTGACATTTTTTATTTTATGAATATGATCTTTATCTATATTATCCAAATTAGTACATCAAGAATTAAGCCTCAACTTACCACTGTAAAATAAAATGATTATGATTTTAATGGTAAAAATCTGTAAAAATGCTACCGTAAAAAAAAAAAAAGTGTTAATTGGTTAACAGAAAGTTTCTGTTTATTATATACGGTGAATATCTGTAATAGATCTATTCGTACATTTATTGTAATTTTACAGTAAAGTACAGTTCAATTCATTACAGTTTTTGGAAGTGAAAAAGAATGTCATTGTGTAAATTACATTGAAAAAATGTAAATTAACATTCCTAGAATTCCCTGTGTGACATGATGATGATGATGATGATTTGTGTTTGGGTGAATGGCACTGTGCACCTTTTTTAAATTTATTATTGACCTTCTTTTTTCATGGAAAAGCTGCTTGTGATGAGCTTTGATTCATCATGTGACTTTCTTATCACCACCTGTTTTTGGTGGTTGTCAGTGTATTACAAAGTTACAAAACAGATGTTTGTACTTCAATTGGTTTGCAAATTAATATTATATCTGTTAATGTTTTTTTACTGTAAATTTAAGTTAAATCTGTAAAATCTAAAATGTTGTCAGTCACAGCTGCTATTATTTTTTTTTTTATTGTAAATTTCACAGAATTGTTGATAAATTTGTATTTTACCTGTATTCTTAGTTATTTAATAATTACCTGATGGCTCATCCATATGTCGCATAAATATAGCTTAATTTTTTTAATTGACACAATTCACCACCATATTAATTGCAAAATAGTTTCATTTTATTTGCACTGTCCTAATGTTGCTTGTAGTGTAAGAGAAATTTGTAAAAAGAGATTATTATTTTTTTGTACATTGAAACCAAGTTTAAATATGTACCAACATGTTTTTTTTTTTTAATCATATCAGGAAGTAGCTAGCACACACACATCATTCGCTTAATATTTGTAGACCTTTAAAGTGAGTAGAATGTTTTAAGTGGTTATTTTGTCCTGCTCATAGTTAGTGGGAGTCACGGCCAATTATGTCTCTAAATGTTGTACAGTATAAGGTCAAAAGTCGCTGTGCTGTTTTAAAAAGGTGACAGTAACCATTTCAGAAAGGTCAACCACTCAGTTTGTTTCCAAAGACGAAGTGCCACTGTGTTGCTTTTGATTTACTTTCTATTTATACTTGTAATATACTTTTTAACTATATACTTCATACCATATGTACTTTATATATTACATTTGATATGGCTTTAGTAAAATTCTACATCCTCATGTTCTCAGGTGTCCAGTAAGATTTGAAGTATGGCGTGTGGTCTTATTTGCATTCATGCCAGATGTTGGGTTGATGGTTAGTTAATTGTAATGTATAGCTATTTTAATTTTAATTCTGAAGTGGTGTTCTTCTCTAACCATTGAACACACATGTACAGTGTTTACATTACATGTAAAGACTCTTCAGACTCACTCTTCAACCCTCACTTGCACTCACTTGGGTGATTTAAAAGCTTTTGCTGTGCAAATAAATGTGGGCACGTCTACATCAGATGTTTGCATTGTGATTAGTGTTGGGCGATATGCTCCATTTTCATATCGTCCTATCGTCAGCCTGTGAGATCGGCGATACACGATATTATCGTGAGGGGGCGGGGCTAACTTATTTGATTATTAACTTGATTATTTAGCCTACGCATTAATTTGCTTGTTTTATTAGCCTACTTCGTTTTATATACGATAATCTTTTTTTCTATTTTGCTAGCAAAGGTGGAGTGTTTATTAATAGGATCAGGTTATTTCCTGGTGAAGTAAAAAAAAGAGATCCTAATCCTTTTGTTTGTCAACGGGAAATTTACGGACACATTAGCCTATTCTCATGCCATTACATGCAGCATTTTGGTCTATTTCTGCACGAGATGAAAACACGTTTTAATAATTTCTTGGGTCAGAAAGAGTCAGAGTTTGCGATATGTGCCCCCCTACCGATAGAAACAAGAGCAAGGGCCAAACGTCTAGCTGAGTCGATCGGTTAATACTTATACTTATGACTTGACTCTGATAAAGGAAACGTTTACATGACCACATGCATTGTCAAGTTTATTCAACATAATCATGTTGAGAACGTCGTCGCATGTAAACGCGCTCAATCTCTGAAAGTGAAAGTAAAAACGGACTGCTTTCGGCATCTGCATTAACGCCGCGTTCCCTCAGAGACGACGATGATAACGGTAACTATAATAATATTTTAGTGATGTTATTATTAATACTATTTAGTAATTGTATTGTTTTAGTGTTAGTGTCATTAAACGTTTTGTTAATGTGTTACAGAAACGAATACTGACGAACAACGATGCCGTTTTCATCTTGGATCTGTAGGAAATTGAATTTTGCGTCTGTTAAAACGAGCACACTTGATAATATGTGAATGGATCACCTTGCGATTGAATTTTGATGTGGGATGTTTTTTAGTCTGTTTTAAAAACATTCTCTTAGAGGAGTCCTCATTAGTGCGTGTGTTGTTGCAATTGTTATGAGGTGATGTGATGTCGTTGTAAATTTAGGCAAGGCAAATTAATTGTAGTTCCTAATATTCATTTAATAACAATTCTAGCTTTATAATAATAATAATAGGCCTAATAATAATAATTTAATACATTATGGTAAAACGAGCCAATTATCGCATTGATATCGTCAAAGGCATCTGCCATCGGCGATATGTCAGACTATCGTCGATACACGATAATATCGTCTATCGGCACAACCCTAATTGTGATGGTGTTATTAATTATTTGGTTGGAATACTTTTTTTCAGGGCCAGTCAGATAACTTTTTTTTGTTAAAGGAACACTTGCACTTGTATATTCAGCATTCCTGTTTTATGAATCACAAATTATATATTTAATATAGACGCAGTACATTAAAGTGAGATCATCACTTAAATTCGGATTCCAACTTTTAGGCCCAGACTCTATAATATTTTTTGCAAGAAGTCTTGTGCTTTGTAAGGCTGCATTTATTTGAACAAAAATAGTGAAACAGTAACATTTAGAAATATTATTGAAATTTGAAATATATATTTTTGTTTAAATATTTTTCTAGTTAATTTATTCCTGCGCTGTCGTTACTCCAGTTTTCAGTGTCACATTATCCTGATTTTCTGCTTAAGAAACATTTATTGTTGTTATTATTATTAAGCTTAAAACAGTTGTGCTGTGGTCAATAATTTTTTACAGTATGTCCTGTATATTCTTATGAAATACCAAACTGCAAAAATATGAAAGATAACTTTTTTATGTTTCAACATATATACAATCTGAAGAATTTGTTCTGGTTTTATGTTTTAAACTTCAGAGTTAATATTAGTTCATTTTCTTTTTTTTCATATCGCACAGCATGTTTGCACGTGCCAGTCTAACCTCGGTTAGGTCAATAAAATTTCTCATTAAGGTTTCTTTAAATTAGTGTAACCCATGTAGTGGTGGTGGTGGTTGTGGTATGTGTGTGCGAGACAGACAGAGCGAGAGACTGGAGTTTCAATGCCTCTACTTCCTTTTGTCCTTTGAGTTGACTTCTTAGGAGCCCATTGCTGGAGTTCCATACATGAGAGATCAAGAGTTACCAAGGTGCTTAGCAGATAGACACAGACACACACTCATTTCCTTTGCGTGTCAGAGCCCTGCTGGGGTTTCAGTAGAGGTCACTGACACCACCAGTGGAGCTTTCCCCTAAATGAAAAACCAACCTCAGTGTATGAGAGTATTTGTATGTGTGTTTCTTTCTGAAAACTCTTAAGTCCGACATTGAATTGGTTTTAGCTATGATACTGTTATAGTAGTTTGTTAAGATTGAATGAATGAAACCTTTATTGTCCCGAGGGGAATTTGTTTTGCACTCAAGAGAGCCACATTGAACATTAGCACAGATAAACTAATGATAAAAAAAATCCACACCAAACATCCAACAACATTGATGTAACTGACTCCATCTTATATCTAAATCATCTCATTATGGAATAGTATCAAGATGCTTATTAGTCAGGTGAAGTATTTCAAAGTAACTTGAATGGTCTTCCACTCGATCTCAGTGAAAATCAGCAGCCTTGTTGTATAGTTTCTGAGCTAAAGAAGTCGTTGTTTATGTGCACCTGCAAACAATGTTGAGATAAGATGAAATACCCTTTTCTTCAACTCATTCCCATCAACTAGCTGGAGCATTAACTTGTATTGTAACAAGATTAAAATACATTTGTCCTGTGGATTATCATCCCTTTCGTTCCTTTGCCGGACCAGTCTGTGTATGTGCAGCAGTCTTTTTGATCTGCGGTGCGTAGTGAGGACCCTGGCTTGGGTCTGGCCATCCAAGGGCCTGGTGTGAAATCGGCCTGATGTCATCCCTTTTGTCCTCCGTTTGCATCCCTCACTCCTTTAATGACGTTTCCGAACCTCGCAGGCGCATTCCTCAGTGGTCCATAGGAAGCGTTTGGAGAACTCAGGGCAGAAAAGCACAGTGGGAGTGTTTGGAGTTTGGGGGGGTTGAGGGTGTGTGGATCTTTTGTATGGAAAGCAGATGAGTAGACATCCGTATTCTGATACTTTCCCTCCATCTCAGGCTTTTCTGTTGG